GGGGGAGACCATATGTATTTACCACTAGTAGATGAGGCCGAGCGTTTAACCCCTGCTGCTCTGACACAGGAACCATGGAGCTAGTTAGATTTATTTATTTATTTATTTTAAAAATAGAACAAACAAAATGTCTATCCAATATACTAAAAACTGGCTTTCTGAAAAATTCATATCCCACTAGGTATTTAAATGAAGTGGCCAGATTTCCAAATTTGTTCAGTGCTCCATTGCTCTTGGGTGAAGAGGACAATATCTCACTTATTTAAAATAATTTCACTGAATATTTGTTCACATCTTTTCCTGTGTCCGTGTGTTTTGGGAATTCAGAAATTCCAGTGTTCATTTATCCCTTCTACGTGATCAAGTGATCTCTAGTGGGAGTAAGAGATCCACAATCTATCACTCATCCTTTTAGCTTTTAAGTTACCCCATTGATTTATCACACATTTATGTAATTTTCTTCTAGCTTTGGGCTCCAATCCTCTCATCTCTGTGATGAGTCACCAGGATGGAGGGATCCGGGTTGTTTGTCAATCGGCTGGATGGTATCCAGAGCCCAAGGTGCTATGGAGAGATCGCAGTGGTCAAGAATTACCATCGCTCTCTGAAGCAAAATCCCTAGGGGATAGTGGCCTGTTTGAAACAGAAAATTCTATTATTATAAAAGAATGTTCAAACCAGAACCTGTCCTGTTGCCTCAGGAACACCGTTCTCAATCAAGAAAAGGAATCAACAGTTTATATAGCAGGTCAGTTACCAGCTAAACCCACACCCTTAAATCACCTTGATCGGAAACAAAACAAAACAAAGAACTGAAGCATCTGTTGTGCATATTTTACAACCTACATAAAAACAAAGAAGTTCAGAAACTGCTACCTTAACAGGGCACAACTCAGGCAAACTGATTGCCTTAATTTTGAATATTCAGAGTTATCAGAGTTTTGGGTTTCATGTAAATTTAATCTTAACTCTGATACTCTTGAAACTCCTACTTTTTTTTTAAAGTATGATTTTGAGAAGAAATATTCACCAAACCTTGAAAGAGTTTGTTCCTACAAACTTAACTTCACCACAGTGATTTTGTGACTGTAGCAATTTTTACACTATGGTTTGGTTGCTACCTTTTCAATAAGTGAAATGTCACCAAATGATGTGGGCTTCTTTCCGTTGACATTCAATGGGAGTTGTGCTCATAACTCACTTTGCCTTTGTTTACACCCACAAACTGCACTACTGAGTTATTGATGAACCCCCTTGTTTGAATGCTCTTATTTCAGTTTCAGAGTGTCCTGTGTATTTCGTTTGTCAGTTCCTTACTGATTGATACTAAATGGATAAAGGACACTATTCAGCTGATTTACAATTTAAAGTTTTGTCAACCAGTTTAGTTAAATTGGGGCAGTCCTGTTACGTGGTCAGCTGTGGAATCAATGTAACAACGACTGCATGAGTGTTACACCAATTTCACTAAACCAGTGCACAAATCCTGTGTGGAGAAGGCTTAGGCATGTTTGAAATGCCCACCCTCGCTAGATGATTTAAATGCTATAAACACAGGAACGGCAAAAGAAGATGAATCAATTTTCTGCACTTAATGTTTGGATTAATTGCATCGAAATAATTGGGGAAATTATTAGTGACTCACCAAAATATTCTAATTATTCTTGCAATTTCTGAATGTTGCTCAACAGTAAGGACCAAATTGTTTGCTGGCATAACTCCACTGAAGTCAATGCGGTTTTGTGAGCAGAGAATTTGCCCCTGAACTCAATGAAGCTCTGAATACCATGAATCAAACCAGGCCTGTTCATTCACAGGTTAATCAGAGCTAAAGCTGTGTTGGTTGGAGTAATTTTTACAATCCGGTTTTGGTCTTTTGTGTAGCATGGGGGGGGGGGGGGTCATGTTTTCACTCTTATTTCACACGTGTCCTGCAGGGGACTATTTACGTAGTTACGTGCAATAGAGAAAAAATTGGTGTTGTTCCTGCTTCCAAACTAATGCAAATCCTGTGGGGTTTATTTTTCAGATTTCTTTTTCCCGAGGGTGAATCCATGGATGGTGGCTCTGAGTGTGATTCTCCTGGTTTTGTTTGGTTTCATTGTCCTCTCTGTTTATCTATTTAAAATAAAAGGTAAATGTCACAGGGGAAAATTTTAGTGAAATTAACAAGAATTTTCTTCTAAGAAATGAAAAAAGGGAAGAATGAG